CAGCGAGTAGGAGAAGGTGGAAGGGGTGGCAGCGAGTAGGAGAAGGGGAAGGGGTGGCAGCGAGAGGAGAAGGGTGAAGGGGGTGGCAGCGAAGGAAGAAGGTGAAGGGTGGCAGCGAAGGTGGCAGCGAGGAGGAGAAGGTGGAAGGGGTGGCAAGCGAGGAGGAGAAGGTGGAAGGGGTGGCAGCGAGTAGGAGAAGGTGGAAGGGGGGCAGCGCAGCGTAGGGAGAAGGGGTGCAGCGAGTAGGAAGGTGTGGCAGCGAGTAGGAGAAGGTGGAAGGTGAGAAGGTGGAAGGGTGGCGAAGGGGTGGCGCGAGGAGGAGAAGGTGGAAGGGGTGGCAGCGAGAGGAGAAGGTGGAGGGGTGCAGCTGGGTGGCAGCGAGTAGGAGAAGGTGGGGGTAGGAGAAGGTGGAAGGGGTGCAGCGAGTAGGAGAAGGTGGAAGGGGTGGCAGCGAGTAGGAGAAGGTGGAAGGGGTGGCAGCGAGTAGGAGAAGGTGGAAGGGGTGGCAGCGAGTAGGAGAAGGTGGAAGGGGTGGCAGCGAGTGGAGAGAAGGGTGGCAGGGGTGGCAGCGAGTAGGAGAAAGCGAGGAGAAGGTGGAAGGGGTGGTGGAAGGTGGGGGTGGCGAGTAGGAGAAGGTGGAAGCGAGTGGAGAAGGTGGAAGGGGTGGCAGCGAGGAGGAGAAGGGTGGAAGGGGTGGCAGCGAGTAGGAGAAGGTGGAAGGGGTGGCAGCGAGTAGGAGAAGGTGGAAGGGGTGGCTGGCCAGCGAGTAGGAGAAGTGGAAGGGGTGGCAGCGAGTAGGAGAAGGTGGAAGGGGTAGGTAGCGAGTAGGAAGGTGGAAGGGTGGCAGCGAGTAGCGGGTGAGTAGGAGAAGGTGGAAGGGGTGGCAGCGAGGAGGAGAAGGTGGAAGGGGTGTTCCAGCGAGTAGGAGAAGGGTGGAGGGGTGGCGAGGAGGAGAAGGGTGGAAGGGGTGCAGCGAGTAGGAGAAGGTGGAAGGGGTGGCAGCGATAGGGAGGTGGAAGGGGAGGAGAGGGTGGAAGGGGTGCAGCGTGGGGTAGGGAAGGGTGGAAGGGGGGAGCGAGTAGGAGAAAATGGGGAGAAGGTGGAAGGGGTGGCAGCGAGGTAGGAGAAGGTGGAAGGGGTGGCAGCGAGTAGGAGAAGGAGGAAGGGGTGGCAGCGAGTAGGAGAAGGTGGAAGGGTGGCAGCGTGGTGGGGGGGTGGAGCGAGTAGGGGGAGGGTGGCAGCGGTAGGAGAAGGGAAGGGGTGGCAGCGGAGGGAGGAAGGGGGAGGCAGCAGCGAGTAGGTGGAAGGAAAGAGTGTGGAAGGGGTGGCAGCGAAGGTGGCAGCAGAAGGGTGGAAGGGTGGGCAGCGAGGAGGAGAAGATGGAAGGTGGGGGGGCAGCGAGAGAAGGGTGGAAGGGGTGGCAGCGAGTAGGAGAAGAGGGGTGGCAGCGAGTAGGAGTGAAGGTGGAAGCGAGTGTGGAAGGGGTGGCAGCGAGGCGGTAGTAGGAGAAAGGGGTGGCAGCGAGGAGGAGAAGGTGGAAGGGGTGGCAGCGAGTAGGAGAAGGGTGGAAGGGGTGAGAAGGTGGAAGGGGTGGCAGCGAAGTAAGGAAGAAGGTGGAAGGGTGGCAGCGAGTAGGAGAAGGTGGAAGGGGTGGAGTAGGAGAAGGGTGGAAGGGGTGGCAGCGAGTAGGAGAAGGGGTGGCAGCGAGTGGAAGGGGTGGCGCGAGTAGAGAGAAGGGTGGAAGGGGGTGGCGCTAGTTAGAGAAAGGTGGAAAGGGGTGGCAGCGAGTAAGGAGGAAGGTGGAAAGGGGTGGCAGCGAGGAGGAGAAGGTGGAAGGGTGGCAAGCGAGTTAGGAAGAAGGTGGAAGGGGTGGCAGCGGAGTAGGAGAAGGTGGAAGGGGTGGCCAAAGCGAGTAGGAGAAGGTGGAAGGGTGGCAGCGAGGAGGAGAAGGTGGAAGGGCTGGCAGCGGAGTAGGAGAAGGTGGAAGGGGTGGCAGCGAGTAGGAGAAAGGTGGAAAGGGGTGGCAGCGAGTAGGAGAAGGTGGAAAGGGGTGGCAGCGAGGAAGGAAGGGGGCTGAAGGGGTGGAGCGAGGAGAAAGGTGGAAGGGGTGGCAGAGTAAGGAGAAGGTGGAAGGGGGTGGCAGCGATAGGAGAAGGGTGAGGGGTGGCAGCGAGTAGGAGAAGGTGGAAGGGTGGCGGGAGTAGGGAGAAGGTGAAGGGGTGGAATGAGTAGGAGAAAGGTGGAAGGGGTGGCAGCGAGTAGGAGAAGGTGGAAGGGTGGCAGCGGAGTAGGAGAGGTGGAAGGGGTGGCAGCGAGTAGGAGAAGGTGGAAAGGGCTGGCAGCGAGTAGGAGAAGGTGGAAGGGGTGGCAGCGAGATAGGAGAAAGGTTGGAAGGGTGGCAGCGAGTAGGAGAAGTGGAAGGGGTGGCAGCCGGAGTGCAGAGAAGGGTGGAAAGGGGTGGCAGCGAGCTGCGAGAACGGGTGGAGGGGTGGCACGCGAGTGAGAGAAGGGTGGAAGGGGTGGGCCAGCGGAGTAGGAGAAGGTCGAAGGGGTGGCAGCGAGGGAGAGAGAAGGTGGAAGGGGTGGCTAAGCGAGGAAGGAGAAGGTTGGAAGGGGTGGCAGCGAGTGAGAGAGGGTGGAAGTGCTGGCAGGTAATGGCAAGAGAGTGGCAGTAACAAGCGATAGCAAAAGGTGGTGTTCGGTAAATTAACGCGATTACCGTAACGAGAACACGAAAGGGAAAACGTACAAGTTAAATCTAAAGGCCTTCGCTTGGTCTTTAAGTGTATGGGTAGACGAGAAGGGGAAAGTAAAGGAGGGAGAAGGGAGGAGAGAGCGTAAGGGAGGGATATATAAATGTCAGGGGGAAAGCGAAAAGGGAAGTAGGGAAGGAGGAATTGCTTAGGGGAGTGGAGAAGGGTTTTCGTACAACCAAAAGGGTAGGGTACTGGGGGAAGGATTGTGTGTCAGAAAGGGAAGGGAAGGGAGGGGAGAGCAGAGAGTGGGGGATGAGGTCGGAAGGAGAGGAAAGAGGGAGAATGGAGGAAGGGGAATTATGGACAGAAGGAAGGGGTGAGAGGAAGATGGAGAGAGACATACGACAGGGAGGGGAGAGGAGGGGGGGGGGGGGGGCAGGAGGAGAGACGGTAAAGCGTAATGGAAGAAAATGGTGTGAGGTCGAAAGGGATGAAAGGGGAAGTGGGAAAAGGGGAGATAAGGTCAAGAGAGGAGATATCAGAAGCAAATTCGGCTATAGGTATCTAAAAAGAGTGTGAACGGGGGCACCTTCTTTTTATTGCCACTTGCAGTATGAAATGTTTGTACGTGTATATATACAGTCTGTGTGTATGTGTGTTTAATCGTTTCTTTAAGTACGTGTGTTCGTTGGCATGCATATGTTTGCATGTGTGTTTACTAACCTATATACACATGTTTATACGCTTAATGTCATACGTATGTAAACGCCTTTACACTCTACTTCCACCTCCAGCAACACGAAGCAAGTCTGGCTGGGGTCAAATACTCTCAATGTTATTCTTAACACTTGCACTAGTTGGCAATGTCAGACCATCTGCCAAGTGAACGAATTACAGAGATTCAACCGGTTCTCGGAACATTTACAACAGCGCATATCTAGGTCATAATCCCTAAACATGACCCCCAGTAGAGATAAAAAAAATGTGAACGGGAACGAAATTCTTGCACGACTCGAGAAATGTAGATCGGTCGAATTGAATCAGTTCGATTGGATTTTCATTTATAGACCACTACCAGCAGGAACAGGAGAGACGGGAGTGTGTTCTCCACGATCGCTTTATATATTGAGATGTCTGAGGTCTTGAGATGTCAAACAAGGAACTCTCAAGAGATATTTGGTTGAAGTTTAAGCGTCTGTCTCTTTTCTCTTCCTCTAACTTTAGCTTTTACCACAAACAAGTGTCTTTCTCTTTTCTTTTCCTCTTACTTTAGCTTTTACAACAAACTCACTGTGGTTGATTCCTCTTGCTATGACGACCATGGCTATCTCTATCACTACCACAAGGACACTGTTTATCACCCTCACTCGACTACTGTAGTTATTATTATAGAGTCAACCATGCTAGGTGTATTCTTGTCACTCACTCATATATATGTCCCTGTCTCTCGACCACAATATATGCATCATTATCAGTCAACTACAATATATAGTCACTATCAGTCAACCACACTTCGTTACCATCACTTCACCACAATACATTTATCGTTATCAAACTCAACCACGCCTTATCACAATTACTCCGTTACACTATATCAGTATCACAACCATATTTTATCACTACCATCCATCCACACTTTGTTACTATTACTCAACCACAGTTTATCACATTTACTCAACACTATATCACTGGCCCTCAACCACAATCAATCACTCGTTCAACTACGTTCTACTATTATCACTCAACACTATAACTCAAAGACTAAACCACACTTTAACCCAATGACTCCACCACGCTTTAAATGACTCAGTTACATTTTATCCCAATGAATCAACCACACTTTAACCTAATGACTCAACCTCCCTTTAACCAACGACTCAACCACACTTTAACCCAATGACTCAACCACACTTTAACCCAATGACTCAACCACACTTTAACCTAATGACGCAACCACACTGTATCCCAATGACTCAACCACGTTTTAAATGACTCATCCACACTTTAAACCAATGACTCAACCACACTTTAACTTAATGACTCAACCACACTTCAATCAACCCCTCAACCACACTTCATACCAATGACTCAATCACACTTTAACCCAATGACTCGACCACCTTTTTACCCAATGACTCAACCACGCTTTACCACCATCATCCAAAGTTTTATCACCATCACTCACCATAGCCAACCGCCGCGCCTGTTCGGAGGATGCAGCTCCCACCATGAAGAGAGCTCGAGCTTTGTAGAATAGAGCCTGATAGAGCTCGTAGAGTACAGAGCCCCTCAAGCGTGTGATGCCTGGAAGAAAAATACGAGGATTATATTCTACGGAAAGAGAACGACTGTGAAAGAGAGAGGGAGAGGAAAGGAGGGAAAGAGAAGGGAAAAAGAGGAGGGAGGGAGGGAGGGAGGGAGGGAGGGAGAAGAGAGAGAGAGAGAGAGAGAGAGAGAGAGAGAGAGAGAGAGAGAGAGAGAGAGAGAGAGAGAGAGAGAGAGAGAGAGAGAGAGACAGAAAGAAATTCAAAAACAACCCATACAAGAGAAAAGCGCAATTCACAAAAAAGGGTGTTACGTGAACCAGGAACAGGTGGGCGGTTCGTGGGCTGAGAGAAGCTGGGCGGATGTGGGGGGGAGGGGGTAATGGGTAGGGGGGAAATGGGAGAGGGATGGAGGAGAGTGCCAAATCTACGTTCGTTTGATGGAGATGAAACCAGTTCATTCTGCCCTCGTGTGGTTATATTTCGTAGGTAAATGTGTGTCTATGTGTGTTCGCATATATATGTGTGTGTGTGCTTGTGTGTGTGCGTACGCGCGTGTGCGTGCGTGTGTGCTTGTTTGTGTCTGTGTGGGTGTGTGTGTGTATGTGTGTGTACGCACACACACGCGCGCGCGCGCGCGCGCGTAAATATATATACATATATATATTATATATATATATATATATAATATATACATATATATATATTATTATATATATCATATATCTATATATATAAATATACATTTATATATTATCATTATCATCATTACTACCACTATCATTATCATTACTACTATTATCATTATTACTATTGCAACTAATATCAGTATCATTATCAATACTATTACCATAATCATTATCATTATTGCTATTATTATTATTATCATTATTATTATTGTTATTATCATATCAATTATTATCATCATCATTACTGCTATTATCACTTTGATCTTTAATATCATCTCAATTATTATCATGATCATATTAATGATAACCATCATCTTCATGTATGTGTATGTGTGAGTACTTCATATATGTTTGTATGCAAGAATATCAATCGCTCCATTGTCTTGCTTATTTTATAATGACCCTTTTTCAACACACACACACACCACACACACACGATCACACACACGCACAGTCGATATTATACTATACTACGTATATAAGTTAGTATATGTATAGTACAAGTTAATACTATATGTAGTATATATAAGGTGGTCGTATGACTACAAATATAGTATGTACACATATACTAGATATATGTAGAGAGACTATGTGATTATACATATAATCTGATAATATTATAGGTATCTATATATTAATAGGCATCATATATACTTGTCAAGTATCACCTATAGTCAATTAGTGATTCGTACTAGGGTTATATATTTTTGATATATGGATATATTAGATAGTATAAAAAGTAATAATAGTATACTTAATAAGTATAGTATATAATTGTGATTATATTATAGGTTGTGTGACACTATGAGTACATCATAAGCTGTTTGTAGCGTTATGATATAGTTGATGAGTAGGTAGTAGATTAATTTAGCTATAATAATATATAACTCAGTATAACATTATAGATCATTATGAGTATATTAGGTAGAATTATTAGTATATGATAGATAGTGGTATGCAGTATTAGTCATATTATGTAAATTTATTATTATCGTAGTAGAGTACACATTGTATTTTATGATGCAGTATATATTATATGATATATCCACGTGATAGTATATAGGTATAGTATAGTGAGTATAATATATCTAGCTACTAATACATATAATAGTGTTTATACATACTATATATATATAATATAGAATTCTTTATATAACGATAATTACGATCGATTAGCATATAGTATATGTTCACTACCTTAATATAATTACTATAATTATAGCTATATATATATAAGTATGTATATATATATTAGTATATCACGTTGTTGTGTGTGTGTGTGTGTGTGTGGTGTGTGGTCGTGTGTGTAGTGTTAGGGGGGGGGGGGGGGGGGGTTGGTGTGTGTGTGTCCTGTGTGTTGGGTGTGTGTGGGTTAGTGGTGTGTGGTGGTGCGTTGGTACTATACATATTAGTAGAGTAGGTATATATTATAATATAGTAAGGTATCTTATGATATATGGTATACATATTAGGGAGTATATGTACCTCACTATATGCATTTACAATGATTGTGATAGTATATATATATTATAATAATATTATATATCACTATACTCAATATATATTATATAGTTATATATATATATCAGTAGTTCCAGCACCACCACAGCAATACATTATTATAGAGATATATGACGTATATATACTATTTGATATATAAAATAGTATATATTATAATATAGTGAATATATAATTCAATTTATATATATATATATAGTATTCACACCACGGCGGTACCGACATATACGATAGTAATGGAATATGAAGTATACGTTATATATATAGTATCATATATACAGATTATATAATGCTACTATATATCATATATATGTGGTGCTAGGTGGTAAATGTGTGTGTGTTGTGGTGGTGAGTGGTGTGATGGTGAGTGTGTTGTGTGTTGTGCTGTCCAGTGACATTATAGTTGGTTGTAGTAAGAGAGATATTGGAGGGTGATTCGCATGATTAAGGCGTTTGATGATATTAGTAGTCGCTAATAGGTAGTTAGCTATCGGATGGATGAATGTATGATCATATAGTTATTATATATTAGCAATTGTATAGGTTATTGATCGTATTATTAGGTTAACTAAAAGTATTAGTATAATAATATTATAGTATTTATATGGTGATAATGGGTATAGTAAAGTAGGATTACTAGATTCATAGATATAAGTATATGTATACACTAACAGCGATAGGGAGTTATATGGTATATAAGCGTGAATACAGATGACTGATATCCGCAGATATGTGTGGTGTCAAATTACTATAATATAATAGTATATATAGTGATCAACCTAAGTTATACTAATAATATGAGCATAAATAGTAGTGCGTAATAGATATATGAGATTATTATTCACGAACACACGCACACGGCGATAATTACATGATCTACTGTGAATAGTATCGTTAGTATATAACTAGTGAATCATGAAATATCATTAAGTAGTATTATTACGTAATATAATATATACATTAAATAGATATACTATAAGTATGTAATAATGCATATAGTAACTTAAGTCAGTGATTAGGTCTTCAGTCTATAGAGTAATATATTATCTTCACGCACATCGAACACGCCACCAATACATATGTGTAATAAAGCTCCATAGTATATAGTATACTCTATAGATATATATACGTTACTATAGTATATATATTATATATTATTATATATAGATGATATGATTAATATATATATGTAATTTGTGATGAGGTGTCGTAGGGTGTCTGGTGTTGTGTGTGTGGTGTGTGTGGTGTGGTGTCGTGGTTGTGTGATTTAGGGTCGGTGTGTGTGGTGTCGTGGTGATGTGTTGTGGGTGTGTGTGCTCGGTGTGATGGTTTGTGTGTGGTGGTGTAAGTACACATGCATACATACATAAATATATATAAATATATTATAAGTTATATATATACATAAGTCGTTAATAATTCTTATATATAATTTATATAATTGATGTATATATAATACTTAGTATATATACTATTGTGTGGCCTTGTGTGTGTGTGTTGTGGTGTGTGGGTGTGTACTATTGATCATATACATGCATATGGTATTGGCTTATAAATTATATATATATAGTAGCAGCGTAACGGGACTATAGGTAATACCAGGGTAGATGAATTCATAACTTAACCATCTAACTTATGAAGATATCATGAAGGCCGACATAACATTACTAATAATAATTATGGGTATTATATATATATATGTATATACTATTTGTTACATCATATATATAATATTAATTTTAGGATCTATTACACCCTATTAGTGTATGAGACATGACGTGTCGACAAGACCATTAATGGATGACCATAGGTGTATGTTGGATGTTAAAGCTTGATGATGATATGCAGCCACTACGTCCATATGACCTAATAACATATGAATTAAGCGACTAATTTATAAGTGTGAGTAGTTGTTGTTATACGTTCATGTATAGGTATATACGTGAAGCAATAGCATAACGATCACCATACATAACGGCTACAGGTGATGCATAATGATAAAGATGTCAAAGTTCATACATTATGATGGAAATAGAGCATTATATGTCACTCACTCACTCACTATGATGAGCTGAGAGGTAATTATAGTATATTCATAACCTATGAGGGTCATATATATTAGTGCGCGATCGGATAGTCAGTATGTATGGAGTACAGTAGTGCACATCTATCTATGGACAGAGGACATACAATACTAGTTTACATACAACGAGCACACCAACTACAAATCTAGCACTAGCTACACACCAACAGCACAAACCCACACACAAACACATATTTACTGAAGTTATACATGTATTATAGTACTACGTCATAGTAGTAGTTAGGTAAATACGTACATATGAGGGAAAGTAAGTAGCATGAATATTATATTGTATCGGTCAATTAATGATACGTAGGCTCAGCTAAAGACTCATAGCCGATTACAATTTACAATACAAATATCTATGTAAATTACTGAAAGGAGGTGAAAGTATTAACGAAGATAACGTATACTATGTCAGTGATATAATATGAGTGTATAGATTATCAGTCACGACTGAGTCAATACTGATACGCCGGATAACATTACTTACATACAATAGTTATACATACTATATTACCCTTATATGAGATATTATATATATGTTAAATATAATAATAAGTATCATATGCGAAATAGTGAGTGAGATTGTACTCACGCGCTGGACTATTCGCGTGACGTATATATAATAGAGTGATGATATATATATATTAAGTTATATAAATATATATGCATGTAATGAGTTTATAAGTGAGTGCAATACTGTATTACCAATGTAATCACACACACAGCACACAGACTATACACACG